CGGCACGGCACCCTGATGGGCAATGACCGAGTGTCATGCACCCGCATCACCTGTTGCCAGGCAGACCTCTGCTCGGCAGGTCTCCGGTCCAGAAATGATGCTGGATGCGGCCGTGAGCACCGTGGCCACTTCGTGGGGCATCACTTCCCACCCCACCGCCACAGGCAGGTCACGATGCCCAGCCCAGTGACACCCGCTGTGGGGGGGCAGGGGGGACTCTGGTACCCCTGGGGGGGGCAGGAGGTGGGATACGGGGTACAGGGTGCGAGAAGCGGGATGTGGAGGTGGGATGGGGGAGGTAGGAGGCAATGCGGGAGGAAGGAGGTGGGATGCAGAGGTGGGACGCTCCCCACACCAAAGTCTGAGCAGGACCCTCTGTGGGGGTCATGCCGTCAGGGTACATCTGCTCCTCACTCACCTTCGTTGCCAGAGAAAAGGTGCACTTCAGCCCAAACCCCCCCCTCCAGCGTCACTTTGGACCCCCCTGGGTGGGGGTGCTTGGCCAGCACCTCTCGGGCTGAGGGCGTAACGATTAAAGGACCGTCAAGCGCTTTCAGGTCCCCCTCCCTCTTGGGGCACCCCTCTCACCCTGCCTGCCGTGGCTTCGGGGGGCTGAACCCCCAAACCCAAGAGAGGAGAAGCAGCCCCTCGAGGTGGGTGACCCCCAAAGCACCAGTGGGAGTGGGGCAGGGTGGGGGGCAGCGTGGGTCCCCACCCCACAGCCCCGCTAGTGCTACGTGGGCGAGAGCAGCCATCCGCCCCCATAATGCTGATTTTAGGTGATTTTATACAAGGGCCCCGGGGCAGCCCAGGAGTAACCCGTCCCCGACGCCAGCACTGCACCCTGGGGCTTGGCCTCACCGGGCACGCCGCACCGAGCCAGCCCCGCCCGCACCGAGCCAGCCCCAGCGTCAGGACCCAGCACGACCGTGACCAGGGTTCGGCCAAAAGTGAAACTCCGAGTGTGAAACTAAACGCCATCGGCCCGGGCGTCACCAGTTACCGGGCAAACCTCCCCACCTGCGGCCCAAGGGCCGGAAAGTTGGTAAGGCTGGGGCGAGCCCGGGCGGGTTTCTTCAGCGACTCCATCCCTTCTCCCGAGCCAGCCCCAGAGCCACCCCACCGGCCGGGACAGCACGGCCAGCCCCCGGCAGCGCGCTGGGAGAGCACCGTCGGGGAATAATCAAAAAGCATTTCCAAGGAGCGGGGCAGGGTCTCCCGGCAGATGCTGTTTCTGGAAGAGAAGCAGGCGCGAGCGCTGGTGGGTCGATGCTCCGGCTACCCGGGTGGGAAATGGCAGCCCCCGCACAGGGGAAGGGCTTCGGTGCTCGGAGCCCGGTCCCGTCCCCAGGCTCACGCGACCCAGCCGGGAGCAGGGGAGGGGCTTCGGTGCTCGGAGCCCGGTCCCGTCCCCAGGCTCACGCGACCCAGCCGGGAAAGCCCCGGGGTGCCCAGGGGTGCACCGACCCCCTGCCCAAGGGTGTCCCTCAGCCTCGCCCCAGGCCACCTGCATCCCCAGCTCCTGCCCCCACCTGTATTCCTCCCCAGAAGCTCTTTTGAGGACAAATAACTCATCTGCTGCTTTTTAGGTGATGCTGCACTTGGAAACCATCCAAGGTGT